GCGTGGACGTGCCGTCTGTCCCGAGGGCAGTGGGGTACCATGTCGTGCCTGGGGGCACTGGCTTAGCCAGCTCAGGCTGCTGTAACAAAGGGACCTAGCTGGGCAGCTTACACGACAGAAGCCAGAAGTCCGAGATTCAGGCGTCGGGAGGGTTGTTCTGGGGAGGCCTGTTCCCTTGGCTTGCGGGCGGCTGCCTTCTGTGTTCTCACGGGGTCTTGTCTCTGTGTCTGTGTCCTAAGCTTCTCCTATAAGGACACCGGTCATGTTGGTTTGGAGCCCGCCTGAGTGACCTCATTTAACTAATCGCCTATTTGAAGATCCTGTCTCCAAATACCAGCACATTCTGAGGCGCTGGGGTTCAGACAGCAACGTGTGAATTGGGGTGGGGGCACAATTCAGTCAGAACGAATTCCGATTCTGCTTTGCAGGCGGCTCTCGCTGTTGAACTGTGTCGGGCCTCCCACACTGGCCGCAGGGCCCTTATGCAAAGTCCTCTGATGTGGCCCGAGGCGTGGGTCCTGTTACAGGAAAGCCCAGCCGGTAAAGAGCCCTGACCTGGGACTCTCCGGCACCAGGAGCCACGATCTCAAGACAGTGGGAAGTACCGGTCATTAAGTAATTCTTTCTCAGAAGATACCAGCCTCCATTGCACTTTTGTTTCAGAAGCCAACCCTGGAGCCAGGAAGATCTCCGAACAAGGGAAATGATAGCAAATTTGGTGTAGAGGAGGCACCCGAGGTCAGGAGGGGCCAGGGCCGGACCTGCAGAGGAAGGCGGCCAGGCATGGCCAGAAGTCCAGGTCTGAATGAGGAAAAGCCAGCCTCTCCCAGACCCCAAGCAGCCCAGTGAAATCTGGCTGGGGCCAAGGCCCGTAACTCACCTGGCGTGACGGGGACACTGGGACAGGCCTTCGGGCCGCATCTCACACTTCTGCCTGGGGGCAGAGAAGAAAACACGGCACTGCCATGGCCGTGATGACCCCAAGGGCAGCGTGGACGTGGACCCCTGGGAGGCCGGTGATTGACAGTTTCTTCTTAGTGCTTTGTCCACTTCCTTACCCTGCCCCCTACCCTGCCCCACACCCATGGGGAGAACCTATAAGAACAAGAATGCATGCCAGTTATTTTTAAAGGGGCCTGCTTACTTCAAGCAAGTATGCGAGAGGTTTTTATTTATCTTGGAAATGGCCCTCACCTTTAAAATGAGACATTCACGCCCTGGCCGGTTTGGCTCAGCGGTTAGAGCATCGGCCTGCGGTCCGGAGAGACCCGGGTTCGGTTCCCGCTAAGGGCACGTACTTCAGTTGCAGTTTGTCCCCGACCCTGGTTGGTCGTGCGGTGGCAGCCACTCGATGTGTCCCTTTCACATCGATGTTTCTCTCTCTCTATCTCTTCCTCTCTCTCCCTCCCACTCTATCTGTACAAAAAATGGAAAAATGTCCTCGGGTGAGGATAAAAAAAAAATAAAATGAGACATTCACAACAGACTTACATACAACAGGCTATCGAATTATTTACTCTGCCTGTAACAACACCTCTTGGGATAAAGGCTCTTCAAAGCTGTAGCCACAGGGTTCTCCCGCCTTCTGCTGCCCGGTTCTGAGGCTGGGGGACCTCACTTGGCAGGAGGTCCTGTGAAGCTAGGACAGGCCGGCAGCCTCTGGCTGTCACCCCCTGGCACCCCTCCAGGACGTAGGGTGCGGGGGTTGGACTGCCTCTCTGTACACTGCGGCCAGGCCAGTTCTAGCAGGTGCTCTGGACCCGGGCCTGGGGGTACAGGGAAGGTGGCTCAAGAGCTCCGAAAACCTCGGGGGGGGGGGGAGGGACAGAGAGAGGAAATTAGCTTCAAAATATAAAAATAAGTCCAACCCCAGCGTCTTACAAGGGTCAGTGTCACTGAATGTCTGCAGATGCGACGCTGGACCTCGCTGGTATTCCATCACATTTGAAAACAATCTGTCACTTCTTCTGAGAAATCCCCTAGTATTTAAGGTGACCGTTAAGAAATCATTGCCAAGTGTCAAGATTGCCAAATAATTTCAGAAATAAAATGTAAAAAAAGGTGCCGTGAGAGAATGTGCATTTAAGGCGGGATGGGGGTGCACGTCAGTGTTTGGTGTGACGAGTGGGGGAACCTCCAAAGGTCAGGGGGGCAGGGCAGCAGAGTCCCAGGGCGGCTCCTGGTCTGGTGGTCGCCAGGAGTACAGAAGTACCGGCAGGTGAAATGAATTTGATTGTCCAAAATACAGTCGGCCCTCGTTGATCGCGGTTAATCAGACTCTACCGCGATAAATGAACGTCCGCGAGGTAGGATTCTTTATTTCATGTGCTACACTGTATTTGAAAAACCTGCGATCGAAGCGCAGAGTGGCGAGGGACGACTGTACCACCATTTCCACATGCAAGCGACATGAAAAAGGAGGTATCGATGCTTCTTTTTGTACCAAGTCTTTGAAATCTGTTGCGCACTTTACATTTATTTGCATCTCAATTCCCACTAGTAGCGGGTAGGCCTAGAGCTTCCAAGTTACTAAAACTTGGCTCAAAATAGCCCTGGGTGTCACCAATACCCATCGAGGGTGGAGATTTGGGTTTCCTTCCCAAGCCAGGGCGGGAGTCATGCTAAAGGGTGCACAGAGCCCCCTGTACCACAGGCAACCGGGCCTCAAGGTCCCATAAGGAAACCAACAGGGACATTAAATTCTTACGTAGAAAAATCAGGACTCTGGCCTCTGAAAAATTGTTGCTTCTGGCGTTCTCTGAGGAAGCCATTCATTTTTCTAAAGATGAAAGTGTTGAATATTCTTCTCACAGGACGGGTGATCCCTCGATTCCACTCTCCAGGTGTCCTGTTACAACAGCAAACGGGGAGCCACACTCATTTTCCCTAGTCCACCTCGTCTGGGGGTGAATACAGAACCGGCCCCGTCCGTGGCGTTGGGGTCGCGGGCGCCATCTGCTGGCTGCACCGAACCACAGCACGCTCCTGGGGAATCCTCTTGGGATGCGGCGCCCCCAGGGGGTCCTCACAGGGACCGCGGCCTCATGGCGGTGACCCTGGCACCCTCTCCTCCAGGGCCCTGCGGATGGGGTCAGGCAGGCAGGGTTCAGCAGGCCCCCAGTGGAGGGGCTCAGCGGCGTGCACACAGGCGCCTTGTTTCGGGCAGGGTCCAGTGTCTGCCCCCGAACACAGGGCTGGCCGTGCACCTTGCTGTGGACGCCTGAATTCCCAGACAGCCCGTTTCAGCGTCGTCCCAGCACTCGCCCACCCCGCCACTGGCGTCCACACTCAGTAACCGAGAAAGCGGTGTCACCAAGGGAGACAGCCTGGGAAAACCAGACGAACAAGCCCAGTGAAAGCCGTCTGTGAACTGCACGATCCAGGTGCTACGTGTACGTCCACTGTAAACTTTCTCGTCTCTTCTGTGTGTTTGAGAATTCGCAGAGTGGTGTGGGGGGAGGGGCAGGAATGTGGGGAACTCGACATGTCTTCGTGAGGTTTGTGACTATTTTTTAACTGGGAGCACAGTACATTTTTAATGGCAGAGTGATGACGTTTATTAAGTCAAGATCACACTTGCATCCTTTTGAACTAGATGCCATCAGATTTAGTGCAACCTCCGCCCACCGCGCCGGCAGGGACGGGAGCTTTACGCTGGAGAGTGCAAGACCCCCGTGCCTTTTAGGAAATGGAAAACAAGTACCTTAAGTTGAACAATTTCAACAAATACTTCCTGGTGCATCGGTAGCAAACACATGGCATCTTTCATGCTCCTGGTGGACAAGCAGCACCCTCATGCCTGGCTCCAGGCGGCCCCAAGTCCAGCGCTGGATTTAGGCAAATGTTCCCCATTTGCCAGTTACAAAAGCTATCCCCTTGGTCATGTGGCAAGGCCCAGGCTTGGAAAAGGGCACTCAAGAAGCTCGTGGTGCAGACGCTATCTCGTGGCCATTCTCAACCTTGGCTTGTGCTGAACATCGACGCTGTGGCTCAACTAAAGCTGTAGATCTGTTCCCACTTCCCACGAAAGCTGGTCCCTGAGCTACCCAGGCTCGGCTCCCTCACCACCGCCTTTTCGGCCTCTGTCTCCCGGTCCCTGCTCGTCATAAAGCCACAGGGCCGATTCAGAAAAGGAGAAAAAGAGATATGAGAGATTAACTTGAAAATTCAGTTTTTCTAGTGCACATGCCTTTTTCTCTCTCAAAAAATAATGTTTCAGGCTAAGACAAAGCCAGAGTTAATGGGTCTGAATTCGTTTGCGCTCCAAGTACAAAGAATTCAAACCACCAGGTGCAGGCAGTCTCGTCCAGTGGGAATTTTATTGGCATTGCTTTTCACGAGTAGGCACACACACCTTACAGACGATATCGATTCCACACTCGGCAAGTTAGTTTACACACCAGCCTCGGACAGTAAAGCATAAGAAGCATTTGGGGGTCACGGTAGAAATACAACACACTCCAAAGTCAAACAGCAAGATGAATTTCATTTGATACTTACCAATCAGGAATTATAAACGACACAAGATAAAAAGCAGCACCCCAAAGCCATCACTCCGGGGGCGAGTAAAGAGCACTTCCCATGCAGGGGCTGGGGCTCACTGGAAGGCCACACACCGCCCGCTCGGGCCTGCCCAGAGCGGCCTGTCCCTCAGCACAGGGACGTCCCCGCTGTCTCCAGGACAGCTGCCCAGCAGAGCGGAGCGGCACTGCGGATGCTAACGGCGGGCACGAAAGGACGAGAAAAGCACACGCCCACTCTGCCCGCCCATGCCTGGAGAGGCTGCCGCAGACACTCCACGTGGTAGAGTCCCCCACAGCCGGTTCCCACCTGTCCTACGCTGCAAGATCCTTGCATTTCCCAAAGGGCGTCGAAGTCACACATCAAAACCCAACGATGATGGTGAACAGAAGATCACTTCGGAGTGACTGGGCGGGCGGGCCAGGGGGGAGATGGACAAAGGGAGCTTAGTAGGCAATCTTTAAAATGTTTTATTACAAAGTACAGTACAATGTTCATAAAATGTTTCCCAGTGTTTCTAGAACACACACTGCTGAACTGAGCACTGCAGACGAGGGGCCCACATGACCCTAACTTCAACAATGACCTCGATCCCGGAGTCAGAGGACACCTGTGACAGGCAGTGGAACGGAGAGACCAACGGTCCCTGCAGCCCACGGGGCCCAACTGCGAAACATTGACATTGTTTTCCCCAGGGGCTGAAACCCACACCCATGGTTCACAGCCCACCGAAGCCGGGACCCAGATTCCTACACGCAGGCAGAGGGCAGAGAAAACGACGCCGGACAACAGAAGTCTCTGCCACTACTTCTTGTTCCTGGGTTTTAGCTCTTCGGCTGCGTTCCGCAGGAAAATGTAATTTTTCTTTTGGGGATTATAAAATTCATGGCCCTGACAGAAGGAAAAAACCACATACTCTTATTATGAGAAAGCAAAAGTTAGCATTCTGTGGGCACTGTTCACACGCCAAGTCCCGTGTTATGTGCATGAAGCACAATCTCTCTGGAGGAACAAAACAGGTAGATAGAGAGAAAAGGCTGAGGACTTGGTGGGAATCTGCCCGCCATAACCCACCGGAAGGAACCCCCTTTTACATGTTTGTTTGTTTGTTGTTGTTTTATCCTCACCCGAGGACATTTTTCCATTTTATGTTCAGGCAGAGCGGGAGGGAGAGAGAGGAACAGAGAGAAACATCGATGTGAATGGGACAATTGAGTGGCTGCCACCCGCACGACCAACCAGAGCCGGGGACAAACTGCAACCGAGATACGTGCCCTTAGCGGGAACCGAACCCAGGTCTCTCTGGACCACAGGCTGACGCTCTAACCGCTGAGCCTAACCAGCCAGGGCTGCAAGTTTGTTGTGGGTGCCAAGGCTGTTTAGCCCACAACCCTTTCATGAGCCGAGGTGACGGCCCTCTGAGAGCAAGGACACGGGGGGCAGCAATGCTGGCTCTGACCCAGGACCCCAGGGAGAGGGCAGCGGGCGTGGTGGTCGGTGTGCCTGCCGCGCAGGCGTGGACGGGTGTGGCGGCCCAGGAACGCTCACCTTGGACCAGTCGTAGCTGGAAGCGTAGGCGAATATGTTTCCGTTGTGATTGAAGCAGCAAGCTGATATGGGCTGGTCTAACTGTTCTGACGTTTTCAGTTTTGTTCTGGCATCTTTGTCCCAAAAGCTGAATCTCCCATCAGATCCCACAGTGGCAAGGGTGCCATGAACAGGGTGGAACGAGATTCCATTGACCTGCAGGGATCAACACACACAATGAGGGGCAGAGCGAGGCGGGAGGAGAAAGCTGCTTTGGCCGGCGCATGCGTCCTGCTTCAGCTAGGGACACGGCACGTGACTGCGCTGAGCCGCTGCACCCGGTCCCAGGAACAACTAGCCACGCTCCCCGGCCAACCGCCAGCCCAGAGCCGCACCGCGTCGCGCCCCAGCACGGCCAGAAGTGAGCGTGTGTGCTAGTGGCCCGGCGCGCCCGCAGGAAGATGCCCTCTTCCCAGCACCGCCCGCGGTCCTCAGTGTGAGCAGAGCGCACAAAGCACCTCCCGCACCGGAGGGGGCGCTCTCCCCAGAAAGCCCTGAGCTTGCATTCAGAAACAGGATAGCACAGTCAACATGTTCACAAAAACACGAAACTGAAACCTATAGCGTAAGCCGTCGCCTCCGCTGTGAACGCCGTGATGGCCGTCCCCGCCTCTCATCCCACAATGACTCAGCCACCCACCTCCGAGTCTGGTTTCTATGCATTCCCAGGGTTAGGTTTCTGAAAACATACCACGTAGATGTCCTGAGGAGCTGAAGTGTTGGTTCCGTTCGATCGGTGACATTTAAAAGTAAAGTTATCTTTGGCACTGAAAAACAAAGGCCCCAGTAAATTTTCCTTTAAAAAAAAGTCTTAAGCGCAAATGCACCCGCTGACTGAGCCCACTCACGGGTTAGGGGGGTTGATGTAGTGGATGGCCACTCTGCCCTCGATGCTTCCCAAGGCGAACCCTGTTGGCTTGTTCTGCTTGTCTTTGAAAATGGCCACACATCGGTGCTGCAGTTGGAAACACGAACGACAGAAACATTTCACAAGTGGGGGGCTACATCATTTCTACCCCATTTCTGGCTTAGAACCAGGAACGTGTTCCTCAAATATGGTACCGAAGGACCCCTACACCTCCAGTAAGCACATTCTCTAACCTTCTTACGCAGAAACCGCAGGCCCCGAGCTCCGATCAGCTGCTCACTCCCCCCCCTTGAAGGCCTGGCGCCCCCCAGCGGTGCTCATGAGCCCAACCCCCACCTGACCCTGCTCTGGCGCTGGCCCCTCGTGGGGAGGAAGACCATCAGCTGGATTCTTAGCCCAGCAATGACGAGGTGGGCTCACCCCGTGTTCTGTGCCTCTGCCCCCACCGGGAAAGCGAAGTAGTGTCTACCCGGCCACCACTGGGGAACAAGGATCAAGTGGACAGTGGCTGAGCAGCACTTTCTAAACCACGAATGTGCGACGTAGCAGACATTGCACTTGACCCAACCCTGAGTCTGGGGGCCCAGAGGGTCTGCTGGACTCCATAGAAAGAGCGCACAAGAGCGCACGGCCGGCCTCCGGGGCGGAGCAGCAGGGCTAGCCCCTCTGGCCCTCCCTCCCCTCCCGGTCATGGCCACCTGGCCTCACCCCGAGGACCGCACCCTGCCCGGGCTGGACACTCAGCTTCTGCGGAGGGGACAGCAGTGTGTCGCCACGACAAGGCCGAGCAGGCAGCCTTCTAGGTGCGAAGCATGTGCTGGTTCCCTGCTTGTGCCATTTGCCCTTTAAATAAAAACCAAAGAACAGCAGGCCCCCTACTTCTGAGAGTTTTACAAAATGAATGAAAACAGACAAAGGTCTGTAAGTGCTCAGAGGACAGGAGAAGCCACAGCCCCCGCTCGGCAGAGGGCCCAATGCCTGGCGCACACCAGCGACAGCCTAACTTGGGGTACAGTTTCCCAGAACACAGCGGCAGCGACCTGGGGAAGATGGCATTCCCAAACAACAGAGAGGCCAGGGCACCTGGCGTGGGGGGCAGGAGGTGAGGCCAGACCAGACTAGGTTTTATCAAGGAGTTTGGTTTACCCAAAGGGCAATGGGGTCAGCTCTGGGTTCGAAGCCGGGGCATAGCAGGGTCACACATGCCGCAGCAAGAGCCCGTGCACTCAGGGACAGAGGATGGACTGGAGGGCCTAAACTCTTCTTGTCACTACCCGGGAAGGGAGGGGTGCAGGTGGTGCGGGAAGAGGATGTGGGGTCAGAACGAGGTGTTTTCTGGGACGAACAAGACCTGAGCGCGTTTCCACGCGAGAGGAGCAGCACCCAGGAAAGAGACAGACCCGAGGGAGCTGGCTGGCTGCTGGTGGGAGCCCGACGCCGGAGGGCACGGCCCCACCCCGAAACGCCCTGGGAGAACAGCGCCCACCAAGGAGGCAGGAGGCAGGGAGGCAGGGAAAGGTGCAGGCAGGTTCCTCGAGCCGCAGGGGGGAGAGGAGGACGCTCCCACCCACCAGCTTCTGTTTTCTGAGTAGAAGCTGCTCTGAGCTGCGTGACAAAGGCGAAAGGAGGGGGCGCCGGGAGACGCAGGGGCGAAGGTCTAAGAGCCGTGGCAAACGAAGACTGAGCTGGAGACGAAGCCGAGGCGCTGTCTGGGCACCGCGAAGGCGGCTGGCGGTGAGGCCGCGAGCTCATGTGCAGCCTGCCCACTGGGCTGTGTGGTCTTACTAAGGATCGGCCGGCTGTCGGGAAGTCTGGGGAGGGCAGGAAGCTGGCTCGTCCCGGGACGAGCGTTTGCAATCACTAGACATTTGTGTTTGTATCCTTACATTCACTCCCTTTACAAATACCTGCCGGTTTTTAAAAGTACAACTTCATGACCTGGCTGGCTTGGCTCAGATGTTAAAGCATCGGCCCGTGGACCACAGAGTCTGGGTTCGATTCCTGGTCAAGGGCACATAACTGGGTTGCAGGTTCGATCCCAGGCCCTGGTTGGGGTTGTTTGGGAGACAACCAATCAATGTCTCTCTCTCGCATTGATGTCTCTCTCTTTCTTTCTCTCTCTCCCTACCTCCCTTCCACTCTATCTAAAAAAAAGTCAACAAAAATATCTCCAGGTTTAACAACAAAAAGTACTTCATTCTGTACTGGGCGCAGGACAGGTACTAAGAACCGGCCTCCTGATCTGACCGCCGACTCACCTGGTGCTTCAGCGGAGACTCTATCCTCCTGAACTCAGAGGGCTGGTTCTCCAGCTGGTACACAATCAGCCCCCTCTCCGCAGTGGCCACCACGGCCATAGGGTAGATCTAGGGGGTGGCAGAGATGAGACTCAAATATAGGACTGTACTTTTTAAAACGATTTCCATCCCCCCAGGAGTATGCTGTTCTTATATCAAAATATTAGATCAATTTTGTTAACAGTCATATAAATAAGTCTGAATCTTTTCTAAGTTTAAAAATTCAATGACATCAACATCTCATAAAAACATAAAATCATATTTGAATAAAATAACTGATTTCCATAAGACTCGTTTCTTTAAAACTGTAAAGTAAATGAATAGAGAACACACAGGAATAGAGAAGAAATAAAAACCACCTATACCATCCTTTCAAATAAGTTGTTAATACTATGGTACGTTTTCCTTCTGAGCTTTACACAGGTATACGTATGTGTGTTTCTATATAACCCGCATCAGTAACTCAAATGTGCGTTCTAAGAATCCTAGTGACCATATTCCCTCACATGCACCTACCACAGGGTCCACTTAACCATGTCTGTCTTGCTGGCCCATTAGATCACTTCCCATGTTTCATGACATTATATACAACAAAGACCATCTGCATCCTTACTGATCTCACGACAAATTTCTACATGTGGAATTACGGGGGCAGTTGGTCCAGAACTTTGAGACTGATGACTAAATAGATGAAGAAAGTTCATGATCTCGCCCCACAGACTAGTGCACAGAGTTACTGCCTGTTCTCCTAGTCATGTGATAAATGTCATATACTGATGGCATGCAGCTACCTGCATATACTCAAAATGACAAGTGGCCAGAAACCCGACCCCAGTGCTTGCTCAGTAATTCTGGAACAAACAGAGAGCACAAATCTGGTTAAGGTGACAGGCAATCTGCACTACATGCCCTCTAGCTGCAAGATGTCAGCAGGTAAGAAATGCTCTATTTCTGCAGTAAATGTATACAGGTCAGAAACCCCTTACCATGTCGGCACAGTAACACCTCTCGGGGAGCTGCAAAACCATCATGGGGTTGGATGACCGCGTGTCCCAAAACTGAAAGGAACAGAAAAGCCCGGAAGTGACCCTCAGAGCTCAGGCCCAGAGTGACAACAAATGACTGCGTGTCAACCTGGCGGGCCACGTGGCCCTCGTGGTCTGTGTACCTTCAAAGTCTTATCCCAGCTCCCGGTCATCACACAGCTGTAGTTCGGGGCTTTGATCCAATGTATGGTTTTAACAGGAGCATCGTGCTTTCAACAAGACAAAACCGAAACAGATGAAAGTAAATGTAGCTAGCACTAAGGAGTTTTGCTCTGAAAATTCAGAGAAGGAATTAATTTAAATATTGAGGTCACACCAAACAAAAACCAAAGGGTGTTTTAATTTTAACCCTTCGCCATGACCAAAGCATCTAGAGGACATAAGAGCCCCTTCCGTTCTCAGGAACTTACTTGGATTTCGCCCACAGTTAACCAGTACATGAGAGTGAGAGTAAGCTCTTCTGGGAGGTACCAGAAATCACCAGTCGGGGACCCCACCACGGCTTTATTTACTTACCGGGATGACACGAACTAGATCAGGTGCTTCTCGCACCCAGCACTGCGATCTGAGTACAGAACGCCTTCCTGAAAGTGTCCTCCCCAGCTCAGACCTGGGTGCTAGGTTCCCTCAAGACGCTGCTTCTGCCTGTCTTAGCAGACTTCACCCAAGAAGCTGCTTGGTTCGGGGGTGCGGAAGTGCCCCCTGCTGTGCCCCCCTGAGGACAATGCCTGGAGCACAGCAGGCCCTCAGTAAATACTGGTCCAGTAAACAAGTGACCAAATGTAGTTGGTAAAAGGCAAGCCACTCAGGGTGCTGGACTGTCAAGAACGTTGAGGGCCACCTGTCACATTCGTCTTTCATGGATTTCATGTCACTACCTCCTTATGCAGCCATCCTCGTCTACGGACATGGAAGACCCTGGAGAGGGCGATCTGCGGAGCACTGGCCAGGGTGAGAAGGGTCAGAACACTGGTTCTTTCGTGCTACAGTGGGGGCTTCAGGTGCTCTTAAGTCTAACGGGCTGGCCGGTCCAGCTGCACGCTCCCGGGAACAGCACTCGCCAGCCGGAGCGCGGAGGGCGGCGGCCTCACCTGAGCGACCTGGATCGCCTGGTTACTGTTCAGGTCCCACATCTTGGCGGTCTTATCACACGAAGCCGTGAAAACTTTGCTCCCGTCCTAAAATAAAACGGAGAGAACCTGTTGTGCTAAGAAGAAGAAAATCTGTCTATATGTACATTACGATGAGGCTGAACACATCCAGGCAGGCTTTGTCCTACAACTTCTATTTTTCCAATCATTGGGGGCCACTATACTATAAATGGTTTTTAAAATAGTCATGTACAGAACTCAAAGTGAGCCAGTCAAGTGTGAAGAAGCACAAGATAATTTTTAATAAAAAGATAAAGTACGAAATGGAAAGTCTAAACCAAAGACTGGCAAATTTTTTCTTAAAGGACTACTAAGCAGTAAATACTGAAATCTTCCCAGTTCTCTGTTCTAACTCCTCACCTCGGCCACTGTAGCGGGAAGCGGCCACCACGTTACGTAAGTGAATGAGCACAGCTGCTCCGCTAAAACTGTTCACACACACAGACAATGGCCACCTTCGGCCCGTGGGCCCCCGTCTGCTATTCTGTTGTCATTATTATCTTCATTTGGTAGCGAGCACCATGCTAGTCACTTTATGCAGCTAATCCGGCAGCACAAATTTCCACCGCCTGAAACTCTTCCTTTCTATACCCCTCCTAAGCGATCACGAGTCCCATGAGCACAGGACCCGCCGACCTCGGAGACTCTGATTCCATTACACCCCCAGGGCTTTCGGACTAGAGGTGCCTGGTAACTATTTGCTGAATTAAATGCTATTGTCTGTTGTAACCATTACTATTACCTTCACTTGATATGTGAGGAAACAGACACAAAGAGATTACGTAACTTGCCAAAGTCAAAAAGCTGGAGGAGACAGAGGCGAAACTCGACCCTGAGCCCAGACGAGACAATGCGGGAGAGGCTACAGGCACAGGGCTCACTTTTCCTTTACAATTCAGCTCAATTCTTGCCTCCTCGCTGACGCATTTGAGCCGTCCTTCCAAACTCGACAGGCTCCGTGTTCCCTCCAGCCTCTAGACCAGCTCCCTGGTTAGAACTCCTCACTCAAGCCTGAGTCCTCCACGCGACGAGGCAGTTTGGAGAAAGGGAACAGGCTGCATTCATTCGGTAAATGCCAAAAGCCACTCAGTAACATTCAGGCAGCAGAATTCCTGTATCAGTTACTCTACTTCTTGTCACACTTTATAAGAAAGTTTACAGTTCTGACCCATTACCAGGTCAGTAAAGAAAGACTGGCAAATTAATTTAGAAATTAAATTTCCCACGTGTACATTGAAAGGCAGTTATATCTGTAATAAGTGCATCACTTTTCAAACTGCTTGCATCTACTGGACACCTATCGGCTTCCGACGGTCAGCCAGGGCCTCTGTTCTCTCTGTACCTGCTCAGCCACCAGGCAGGGGCAGGAGCGGGAGGGGCTGGGCCGTCAGTCCGGCTCCTCCTTTTCTGGGGTGGGCCCTGGACAGCTGCAGCTCTCTGCGCCTGGCCACCCATCCTTCACCTCCTTAAATTCTCCCCAATCAACAACAAACAGCAACTTGACCATGTTTGCTCATGTAGCTGATATCTAGGAAGTTAAAGGGAATTCCAAAAAAACCAAATGTCTTCAAGTGTCTAATAACAGGAAAGGATTTCACCACTAGGATTTGTTTTCTGACATAGTACATGTCTAATTTTAAAACAACGTAAGCTCATGGAATATTTAGAAGTAGGAAAGGCTTCAAGAAAAATCCCTTGTTCAAGGTGACATGTCAATAAAATGATGGATCTTTTTTTAAGCCAGAAAAGCTTTCACAGATATTAACTAAAGCCAACGCTGATGACATCAGGAACGTTAATAAACTACGCTGTGTACACACAGACATGTAGGATTCCTTCCATGTGGATCACACCTATTATCTGTGTTTGGCGCTATAGAAAAATAAACACGCAAACATTCTGAACACACGTGCTCTACGCAGAAGGAGACGTGAGAACGGAAGGGCACGCACATCGCTCCAGCAGACCCCGAGCACGGGCCCAGCGTGCATCTGCTGGGCTTTCGGGATGGTCTGTCCACTGTCCTGGACTTCCCAGCAGCGAACCTATGGTGATAAGACAAGTTAAGCAAACATAGTAATTCATGATAAGTTACGTGCATTTAACGACTAGTAACTAGTGGAGTACAATTTAAATAAATATGGACTTCTATCAGCCTACTTATTTAACTCTACGAATAAAGCAATTGAAAAGTATATACAAGTAGCTATTTTCCTATTCCTATTTCTAAGCCATTAAAATACACATATTCTTCTGCTTCCACCTACAACCAGATGATTTTCTCATCACAGCTACGAGCTATGTCTGTCTTCTAAAGTAGAATGTCACCCATGACCATTCAGAGAACCAAACCAAAGCAGAGATGTATCTTTCTTCTCTGAATACTTTCCTTTGACCTTATATATCCTTTTCCCCTGATTACATAGCAGTCAACTAGTTGTCTGGTGGGATGAGGGTGACTTTTATTGTCTTGTCATATTTACAAAATCTCTAAGTAAAATGCATTACCTTTTGGGCTCTTTTGTTGTACACAGCAGGCAGGTATAATGCCTGTCAGACTCTGTGCCATACCTCCAACTGAAAAAGTGTTTCATGTGCCTGCAGAACACTTTCAGGGTGCCTCGGAGGGAGCGTGGGTGACCCAGCATGGACCAGGTGCACTGTCAGCGAACACTACAGCTGTGGGATTGTTTCCAGATACTCACCTAGAGGAGTTTCTGAGCCACCCATAGGACTGTGCTTTCTTAACAAAACTCAACGTGCCAAGAAGTTTCGTCTGCCTACTCAGAAGGGTGCACACCCTCTAACTGGTTCATTTATTAAAGTTTATTTATTTAGATATACTAAAATATTTCTACAGAAAATTGTCAAGATAGGAGAGTTCCCATACACCCCACATCCAGTTTCCTTCTTGTGTGTGTCACCATGGGTAAGTCTTAATTCAGCTCTACCCCTCGCGTGGGAGAGGACAGCAGAAAGGAAAGCTAACCTGCCTATTCAGAGACACGACTTACAGACCACACGCGCAAGGAGCACTTACGTCGTTAGCCCACGATCCTGCAATAAGAAAGTTCCCCGGCAAGGTTGGTGGACTAAAAGATAGACAAGCAATGCTATCATCAGGAGAAGATGTTACTTCGATGTCCTGCGTGGGGGGAAAGGGCAACGTTAAATGTATGCAGCATCCCGGTCTCATCCCAAATTGCTGTCTTTCTCACTGAACACCTCATGGTGGACTTCCCTCATGCTCAAGACCTAACTGAATCAGACCTGTCTAACTTTGCTCAGAGTGACAAGAACGCACCAGTGGTGATACACCAGCACAACCACGTTTCCAGACCAGACGAGGCCCACGGATTCATTCTCGCCCAAGTGCTGATCGCAGCCACCGCCTGCCCCCCCCCCCCGCCCCAGAGACTCAGATTCAACAGTGTGGGCCGGGCCTCGGGTGACTCTGGTGATAGGGACAGTCAGGGGAGCAGGACCCAATGCAGTGGACATACAGTCCCTGTGCGCCAATGTTTGAGAAAGCGCTCAACGTCCCGAGCTTCCCCCCCACAGGAGGCCCCCAGGCTGTTTCTCAGCTCACTGCTGTGGGGAGCCCTGGCCTGCGCTCTCTGGACAAACGCCGTGTCGCCCAGTGCAGTACCTTCATCGGGTTGTGGTTATCTGTGGTTGTGCTGCCGAACATGCTGGTCCCACTAGTTCCAAAACCCGAGGTTGTTCCAAACAGACTCATTTTGGCCCTAAAAATAATGGAAAATGTTAAGGACAAGTCCTTTCTTAGTAATAAATACCCCCAAGAGGTAATACAAAGCTAATTAAGGCACAGAAGGGAAACAGAGGCGCCAGGCTTGGTGCTGGGTCTCTCTTTTGAAAAGATCTAAATATGTGATAAGTGGAGTGCTTTTCAAAAAGAAACTTTCTGTTTTAGAATAGTTTTAGATTTACAGAAAATTGTAAAGCTAGGAGCGTTCCCACATACCCACACCCAGTTTCCTTCTCACATGTCACCACGAATAAGCCAGGACTGACACATTACAGCAGAGTACTTCTGTCACCAGCTAGGCATAAACTAGTTTATACTTTACAGTTAGACACCGAGCTGAGCATCAGGATACAACAGCCAACCAGCAGAAGGTCCCATTCCCCGGGTTCCCACTTAGTGCGAACCTTACTAGTCTCTGCATGCTGGTCTAGGTCAATGTCTCCGCAGAAGTTACTTAGAAAAGCAACCAGTCCTGGTTGCAATTCAGCAATTTCTTTTTGAAGTTTTAAAAAGTAACCCACTTTGGTCTGCTTGAGCACAGGCCTCCCATTATGTGCGGACATTTGCAACAAGAATCCCCTTATTCTAAGTCCTTAGTAAGCCCACCAGGGTTTGTACTATATTTCTGCTGGGACCCTGCTCTCAGCAGGCCTGACTTTCCTGCTCTGTAAATATAAAATAAGTCAACCTTCTTCAGGGGTGTCTGAGGGTCCTGGTAGGAAGTGCAGTGTCAAGCTCATCGTGGGCACAACAAACACCTCTCTCTGCAGGAGAAAGTCTGAGTGTCACAACTCCCTGGTGACTCGTGCAGGTTGGTGCCACATTCCAATTCTCTCTGGCCAGCAGACTTCTTTTTAAATCCTTATCTGAGGATATTTCTCCATTGATTTTCAGATAAGGAGGGAGAGAAATATTGATTGGCTGCCTCCTGCACAATCCTGAGGGCCAGGGATCGAACTGCAACCAAGGTACGTTCCCTTGACTGGAATCAAACCCATGACTCTCTGATCTGCGGACTGATGCGCTAACCACTGAACCAAACAGGCCAGGGCCCAGCTAGCAAACTTTTAAACGGAGAAGTCTACATGTCAGTCACCTCTCCCAAAGGAGCCTAGGAGCTGAGTGGCCTCCTCTCCAACAAGGGTAGCACCTCTGAAGACAACAGAATGGGGAACTGCTAGGAATTCTGGAAAGGCATTTTGAGTTTCCTGAGCTTCGTGAGAAATAAGCCGGCGCTGACGTGCTCAGAAGCAGCTGCAGCCCTGAGTACATTAGTATCTCAGGAAGCGACCGTGAGAGGTGGTGCTTGCCTCTACCCTGCTGTGAAGGCTGGCAGTGTGCTCAGAACCCCAGTTAACTGCCTGGGCGAACAAAGCTGTGGCCAGGCTTCTGCCAGCAGGGTCCGGGAACTAGCGATAGGGCTTTGGCCATGTAATTTAGCCTTAATTTTCTCATCCGTAGAAACAGAGTCACTGAAATCCACTTCACGGGGTTATGAACACCAAGTGAGCGCACACAGTGCCTGAAGTCTTACTTCTGTCCCTGCTGCGTCAACCACCAAGGTGAGAGAGGATATTTCTGCCATTGGGAAAGAGCACAGGTCAGTCAAGTATTTATCAGCCTCTGTGGACCACATGGGATGCAGGGCACTGGGAACCCTCCTTCGGAAGACACCTGTCCACCTCCCACTGACCCACTCTCCTCCCACTCTGCCCTCCAGCCATACTCTCTGCCGCTTCCTTTCCTTTCCGCCCTGAACACAGTGGCTCACCCCGGCCTCTGAGGTTCCCACTAGCTGTTCCTGGGATAACTCACCCTCCCAGACCTCCAGCTGTCAGTCTGAAGCTTCAGGTTCCAGCCCAAAAGGTGCCTCCTGAGAACTTTTGGAGGTTCTAGCAGAGATGTTCTAAAACTGCACCGTGGTGACTTCACACAACTGCTTTAAACTCCCCAAACGCATCAAAATGTACACAAGAGTGTAACTTACAATAAAGCTCTCAGATGTAGCTTTTAAAAACAAAACAAAACAAAAAAACCTGCTCAGAGGCTTCCCTGCCTTCCTAATTTAACACACCCCACCTTCCATCACCCACACCCTGTTCCCTTCCTCGCACCCGCCACGACCTGGCGTTTCTTCGCAATCAGCCTCGTCCCCAGGAGAACTGCCAGGTGCAAAGGCGCCGAGACCTGCCAGGGTTCTTCCCTGAGCCGCCCCTGGCCGCGCGCAGCACGGGGCCTGGCCCGGGGCGGCGGGTATCGACGGGCACCAGCCCGGGGCCGTGCGAGGCTACGGGATAAATCCCAGGCGGGGGAAGACACGGACCGGGAGACAGACCCGGCTTCCGGGAGTGACCAGGGCACCGGGGCCCTGGGCGGGACGACGTGGGGGGCGAAGGGTGCGGCCCGGGGCAGAACGCGCCGGCCGGGTCCGGGAGGCGGCGCGAGTCCGACGAGAAGCCCGAAGTACGCGGGAAGCGGCGGAGGCTTCAGACGCTGCCTCCGAGTCTGTGCCCCTTCCCGGTGCCTCGGTTTCCCCGCGAGAGAAACGAGGGGCGGAGACCCGAGGGGACCGTTCAGGCCCCTTCCAGCTGACGTCACTCCCAGGGACCACCAAGGGGCTTCTCAACAGGCCGGCTCGCCGAGGGCGCACTCCGCCGGGGAGGGGGACCTGGCCTCGGCGGCGCCATGGCGGCGGGTACCAAGGGGAGCGGCACGGGGGCTACCTGAGAGTCGCACTGCGGCGAGAAGCCGGCTGCGGGGACCGGAGGGACTGGAGCCTGCGACCCCGCTCCGGCGCGATGGAGGCGAGGGCGAGATGGCGCGAACAAGAAGCCTGAGAGCCCGGGACTTCCCCACGCCGGCGGAGGAAACTGCCCCGACTACCGTGGAGACATCGCGCACGCGCCCCGAGCCACTTCCGGTGTCGCCCGGAAGCCAAGGCCGAAAGAAAGAAGCTCCTCCTCCCGCGAGGCGACGGCACATGCGCACAAGCGCTACCGACGCTGAGAGGAGATTCTCGTGCCAGCGGCTTGCGGATTGGCGGGGAGTTCCCGTGGCCGACGGCAAGGGCCGCGGCGCCGGTTTTGATAAATCCGCAGCCCTGGCTGATGGTGGTTTCCTCTAGTGCGTGAAGAGTCTCGCAGAATTCTGATTGCAGCCAATTCAAGCCCAAGGCCACCCTCCGAGAAGCTGATGGGACACTGCGCCGGGTCCTGCCATGACTTCCCCGTGTGCCCGAGGGGTATCCTGAGCCGGCGGGGCTCCCTGGACCTCAGCTTCCTGCTGCAGAATGGGGGTACTGATGCCTCATTTGCAGGGCAGTTCTTAATTTGGTTCAAGTGACGTAACATACGAAAGCCTTTTGGTAAATGTAAGAGTCCATAAGAATGTCCAGGGGCCGTTAGGACACGTGCCAACTGCTAATATTCCAGCTGGTCGCTTTCCCCCGCTTTCGGGGTTGTCCGGAACCGGGAGGGAGGAAGGGGAAAGGAGCCCCGGAGTTTGTGATAGATACGTGCGCTGGATTTTCTCCTTCACTACTCTGTGGGCTGCCTACCTAGAGCCTCGACGTCTGCAGGGAGTGATGGGATCCGGGGGATCTTGTTATAAAATGTACATTTAGTAGGTCCAGGGTGGCCCCCCAGAGCCCACACTTCTAGCCTCCCAGCTCGGGTTGCAGGGATCTAGAACAAGTATTTAGAATCACTTAAGGGGGCTTTAAAACGCTCTGATGCCTGGGCCTCATCTTCAGATTCTGATTTAGGTGGAACTGAGGAAATTAATATTTTTTAAAAATCTCCCAGGTGATTCTAAGATGAGGCCAAGATTGAGAACCTGTGGTCTAGATGCTGCTGCTGCTGATGATGAAGAAAAATAGCTCTTTTGAACACTAGATGATCCCACTCCTGTAATTTCCCGACCAGCCCTATGAATGAGGTCGTTACTGTAATAATCTCCACTTTATAGAAAAGGAAAATGCGGCGGAGAGAGGTGACGTGACGTGTCAAAAATGACACAGCTGTTAGGCAGTAGAGCCAATGAAGTCTGCCCTGTGCCTAACTAACTCCTCTACCTGCAAAACCTGGGTATCTTCTACAAGTCCTGCCTCCTCAAGGACACCTGTCCTCATTCTTTCCCAATGGGATCATCTAGGACTCTCTCTCCTTTAAACTCTCAGAGCCTTCTCAGAGCTGTCTCTGCTTGTCATATTCGGCCTCATAAAACGGTGTATTTGTGCCCTGGCCAGTGTAGCTCAGTTGGTTAAGTGTCCTCCCATGCACCAAAGGGTTGCTGGTTCGATTCCTGGTCAGAGCACATGCCTGGGTTGTGGGCTTGGTCCCTGGTCGGGGGTGTGCAGGAGGCATCCAGTCAATATGTCTGTCTCACATCATCACATCAGTGTTTCTCTCTCTGTCTCTGTCCCCTCTCCCTTCCTCTCTCAAATCAATTTTTAAAAACATGTTAAAAAACAGCCCTGGCCAGTTTGGCTCGGCGGTTAAGAGCGTCGGCCTGTGGTCCGGAGAGACCTGGGTTCGGTTCCCGCTAAGGGCACGTACCTCGGTTGCAGTTTGTCCCTGGCCCTGGTTGAGTCGTGCGGGTGGCAACCACTCGATGTGTCCCTTTCGCATAGATGTTTCTCTCTCTCTCTCTCTCCCTCCCACTCTATCTGAACGAAAAATGGAAAAAATGTCCTTGGGTGAAGATAAAACACCAACCAAACAAAAAAACAGTGTATTTGCCTTGTCTAGCTTCCTAGATCTTAAACATTGTGCCTTACTCCCATGTACATCTTTTGCAGCAGCAAATACAGCATCTTATATATATTCGGAGTTAATATTTGTTGAATGATATTGTTCTATGCACAAGAAATCTTTCAGAAGCATCTATTACAATACAGATCCTTGTATAATACAGATGATTCAGCATATGTTCAAAACGCTCTCTGCTACATAGGATTCTAGTTGACAAGCTGCTTTTGCACAGACCATCAGTGGAGAACTGCAGCAGCATGGTCACTCGAAACAGTAATAACTACCTTTCCTTGACTCTTCCTACAGGGTATTACGCAAACACACACTTGCCATGAACTATCTCATTTAGTCATCACAATGACTCTTGTTATCCCATTTTATGGTTGATGAAACCAAAGCCAGGTAACTTGTCCCAGCCACAGAGGCAATGAACAGAAGTGGATTTGGGATGCAAGCTGCCTGTCCCCCAAAGCAGACTCTGCACCTCCACAGATGGCAGACTGTGGTGAGTCATTACACTTTCCCACCTTAGGAACAAGAAGGGAGAGCATTACAGTCTGCACCTATGGATATGCTTTTATTGAGCCACAGATCATAGGTGGAAAGTTATTAAAAGTAAATAATGAAAATTACATTTTGGTCATGGCTACCATTCACACGGAAACCCTTTTCACGGGGACATTGTGAATGGCTGTTGATATTCCATTGCTAGGTGAGTGTACGCTGTTTGGAATCTTCTGTCGGTTCCTTTTCATTAGAAGTGATCTTTAATTCTTAAAATTTTAAAAATGTTAACATATTGTGTAAGGTTTTGTAAATGTAGCTCAGTTGCAAAGCAGCACACGTTAAATGTAACTTTACAAGGAATTGGGGACATCCAAAATGGATCCCTGCCAAGTACTCAGTCTCACACAAATCCTCACAGTTTTTCCCAACCTCTTTTGTTGTGTCTCAGACTCTCACTCCATCCCTTAAAACAATGACTTGAAAATGTTATAAAGAAATGTCCACCCCAGATAGTGGAAGGATTTGAGAGCACAGTAGAGCTTCTGCCAGCAGAGGGCGACCTTGGCTTGTTTTTACAGGATTGTTTTCTTGGGACATACAGACTGTCAGTTTACTGGTGAACAGAAGTAACGTTTCTCAATACTTTCCTACAAAAACATTCTGTTGAAAATATTTTTTTAGTGCACATGTGCATGTGGCTTGGCTTTGAAAGCATTTTTTTTTTTCTTTTCGGCCCCACTGAACAGATATCTACATCAAACCACTCAACTAGACACTCTTGTTAAAGGATGTCAGAGACGGAAATCTCGGAGTGTTTTTGCCTGTTTTGTAGAAAGTGCAATATGCTTGCTTTCCCATGAAATCGTGACTTCTGAAATCACTTAGCTTCATCAGTGATGACAGTTACGTTTCCCAGAAACGTGAGGATATCACAGGAGCTTTTATTTTACTAGGGTGATTATGAGCCTTTAAGGAAAAAAGATTCTCCGAACATCTTTTTGTTGCACGGGTTTTTATTACTTTAATTATAAACAGATTCCAGTTCAAATGTGCTTCTTGATTAAAATTATGGAAGTATTTAAAGTAAATACAGTAGATGGTGGTAGAGGGGATGTCAGTTGCCATTTTAAATAGCTGCCTATTTTTCAATAATCCTTTTTGGAAGCAAATCTTAAGAATCCGAATTCTTGATGATTCCCAAATAGCTCCTCACGTTGATTGTTCATCTGCATCTAATAAAGATAGGTAGTGATGCCAGACTATCATGTGTTTTTCTTCCATTTTCCCTTCCCAAATAAGATTTTTAAAGTAAATTTCCAATCATAAACTTGAGATGAATTTAATAATCCAAACTGAATGTATCTGTAAGACTTTTTCAAATTTATTTTTGAATTTTAGTGACTGTAGATTTTTCATTTCTTCCCATTTTGACAGTATTATCCTGATCCAGAGATTCTGGAGCTTAATCATTTATTTCTAAGTTAGTGATCTTCTTTACAAAATTTGTCAATATTTAATGATATAATTAGATGTTAGTGGAAGATGTGTGGTATAAATTCAAAGAAAAAAATTGTGATTTGTAAAATTTTTTGCTAGAATTTTTGATAGTCTCACAAGCAAGTCAACGGTGTAGCAGAATGTTCTCAAAATGAAATATTTAGTTGCAATGTGACCAGGGAATATAACGTAATTGACGCCACAGGTTTGGCATGGGGGGACTTGATTTGACACCTAGCCAACAGGAAGAATTGCAGACCTTTCCCGAGCAGTGCACCCTCGGCCACGTGGAACACGTTACATGGACAAGTGTCATGGTTACAGCATGGGCTTTGGAGCCAGACTCTCTGGGTGAAGTCCGAGCTCTGCTGCTTAGCAATTGTGTGACCTTGATAAAGCTACTTAACCTCTCTGTACCTTTGTTGTCTCATTGGTAAAATAAGGATGGTAAGAAAGCTACCTAGCTTGTGGGGTTTCTGTGAGGATGGAATTAATGTTTGTAAAGCAGCTAGAAAAAATACCTGGCACAGAATGTGTTATATAAATTATTCCATCACCTTACTAGAGCCTCTTGAGCAGGGCCAGCTTCACAGGCATGCGACCTGTGTGGTCACACAGGCTCCATGCTAAGAAGGGCCTGTGCTTGGTTTAACTCTCTGCTGCTATCTTGAGATTCTTTTTTTTTTTATCCTCACCCGAGGACATTTTTCCATTTTTTGTACAGATAGAGTGGGAGGGAGAGAGAGGAAGAGACAGAGAGAGAGAAACATTGACGTGAAGGGACACATCGAGTGGCTGCCACCGCACGACCAACCAGGGCCGGGGACAAACTGCAACCGAAGTACGTGCCCTTAGCGGGAACCGAACCCGGGTCTCTCCGGACCGCAGGCCGATGCTCTAACCGCTGAGCCAAACCGGCCAGGGCTATCTTGAGATTCTTAATACCTTTTGAACAAGGGACCCCATGCTTACATCGTGCACTGGCCCCTGCACATTCAGTCCTGGTCCTGCTCTTGTGGTAGGAAGTGTCCCCATTCAGCCACGTTCTGTCTACGTGGCTTTGGACAAGCAACAGCCTCCGTGTTCTCACCTGTAAACTGCAGGTATAATAGGTTCCGGGAGACAAGAT